AACATGGTGAAACCCCATCTCTACTAAAAATACAAAGATTAGCCAGGTGTGGTGCTGCATGTCCATAATCCCAGCTACTCAGGAAGCTGAGGCAGGAGAATTACCTGAGCCCGGGAGGTGGAGGTTGCAGTGAGCTAAGACTGTGCCACTGCACTCCAGCCTGGGCAAAAGAGTGAGCCTGTCTTAAAAAAAAAAAAAAAAAAAAAAAAAACTAAGATGAGAGAATAGCAGGAGTGGAAGGAGAAAGAAGATGGAGTGAGATTACTTGGACTCAATCCTGTAATATTTTAATAAGGGGCTGAAAGAGATCATCAGGTCTGTGCTTTAAAAAAAAAAAAAGACAATTCTATTGAAATAACTTACATCCATACAATGGAATATTATTCAGCAATAAAAAGGAATAAAGTACTAATAGATGCCATATCATGGGTAAACTTCAAAAACATTATGGTGTGGCTGGGTGCAGCAGCTCACGCCTGTAATTCCAGCACTTTGGGAGGCCAAGGTGAGCGAATCACAAGGTCAGGAGATTGAGACCATCCTGGCCAACATGGTGAAACCCTGTCTCTACTAAAAATACAAAAATTAGCTGGGTGTGGTGGCATGTGCCTGTAATACCATCTACTTGAGAGGTTGACAGAACTGCTTGAACCAGGGAGGTGGAAGTTGCAGTCAGCTGAGATTGTGCCACTGCACACCAGCCTGGCTACAGAGTGAGACTCCGTCTCAAAATAAATAAATAAATAAATAAATAAAAACAAATACTCTACTCTTCATGGTGAGAGTAGCCAGTCACAAAAGACCACAGATCGCATGATTCCATTTATTTATTTATATTTACTTATTTTTCTTTGTTTTTCCCAAACCACATGGAATGGAGCATGATTCCATTTAAATGAATTTCCAGAATAGGCAAATCCACAAACAGAAAAGTAGATTAGTGCTTGTCTAGGGCTGGAGAGAGGGAGGAGAGTTAAGGAAAAATGGGAGTGACTGATAACAGGTACGGGGGTTTCTTTTTTTTTTTGAGATGGAGTCTTGCTCTGTCTCCCAAGCTGGAGTGCAGTGGCCCAATCTTGGCTCACTGCAACCTCCACCTCCCGGGTTCGAGTAATTCTCCTGCTTCAGCCTCCTGAGTAGCTGGGATTACAAGTGCTCATCATCATATCCGGCTAATTTTTGTATTTTTAGTAGAGATGGGGTTTCACCATGCTGACCAGGCTGTCTCAAACTCCTGACCTCAAGTGATTCACCTGCCTTGGCCTCCCAAAGTGTTGGGATTACAAGTGTCAGCCACCTTGCTCAGCAGGGGTTTCTTTTTGGGGTGATGAAAAAGTTCTAAAATTGTTTGTGGTAATGATTACTCAACTCCATGAATGTATTTTAAAACCACTGAATTGTACATTTCACATGCGTGATTGTATGATATGTGAATTTATCTCAGCAGAGCTGTTAAAATGAAAAATGACTATTCTGATGGCTGTGTAGTGAATGGATTTGAGAGGAGTCAAGATTGAAGGCACTTAGAAAATGCAACAATCTAGGTGAAAGACGAAGAAGGTCTACACTAAGACACAGGCAGTAGTGACAGACAGAAGATATGGATTCAAGAGCTATTTGGACGGTAAGACCAATAGCATTCAGTAATTGACTAGATAAAGGAGTGATGGGAAAAGGGATGAATCCTGAGCTTCTGGTTTGGGTGACAGGATGAAGAATTGTTTTGCTATCTCTGTTTCTACCCATATGAGATAGCAAGTATAAAAAGGGCAGATTTGGAGTAAAAACTTTTACTTCAGATATGTTGAGTTTGAGGTGCCTATAGGACATCAAGATGCAAATATCTAGTAGATAGCTGTCTTGAGCCACATCAAAGTTAAAAACAGAAAACTGGGACTGCAGATTTCAGAGTCATGAGTAATCGGGCTAGTTAAAATGGGCTGGCCCAAGTGTGGTGGCTCACCCCTGTAATCCCAGCACTTGAGAGAGAGGCTGCGGTGGCCGGATCATGAGGTCAGGAGTTCAAGACCAGCCTGACCAACATGGTGAAACCCCGTCTCTACTAAAAATACAAAAATTAGCCAGACATGGTGGCACACACCTGTGGTCCCAGCTACTCAGGAGGCTGAGGCGGGAGACTCACTTGAACCCAGGAGGCAGAGGTTGTAGTGAGCTGAGATCGCACCACTGCACTCCAACCTGGGCGACAGAGCGAGACTATGTCTCCAAAAAAAAAAAAAAAAAAAAGTGGCTAGTTGAATGTGATTGTTTGAGGAGAGCATACAAAGTAAGCAAGAAGTCAGCCAAGGATGAAACTCTGGGGAATACTTTATTTTAGGAGCAGGCTAAGAATAAAGATCCAGTGAAGGTGATAGAAAAACACAGTCTAATAAGAGAGCTGGAAAACTAGAAGACAGTAGTTATTACAGTTAGGGGAAGAGAGAGTTTCACAAAAAGGGAGTAGTTTAAGGTGGTACTATTGTCAATAGCAAGTCTGTAAACTGTTTGCCAGTCTACAAGAAGACAAATAAGGAGCTTGGACCACAATGTAAATTAAATGTTTCCTTCATTAACAAAGTCAAGAAAAAAAAGAACAACTGAACTAAAACAGTGTATCCTGTGGCATAAATGATTGAGGCAGTGCATAACAATACATAACCAAGTGACCAGCAGATATATAGCATTCACTGTTATTTCTGGTGAACAAATGAGACCTTAAAACCTACTGGACTTTTTGTAAGCTTGGGAAACTGATAAACAAGAAAAATAAATAAATAAATAAACTACTGGACTTTAATAAACCCAACATGCCTAATTTTACAATCAGAACTTTCTTTTTAAATATAGATGGGGTCTCAGTTTGTTGCCCATGCTGGTCTTGAATTCCTGGCCTCCCAAAGTGTTGGAATTATAGGCATGAGCCACCACACCTAGCCCTTAAAAATTTCATGGTTGAACTCTTTTGCACTCTTTGATGAAACTCCTTTCTTTCACTTCTATTAAAAAAAAAAAAAAAAACTTTACTGGAGTATGACACATAAAAAACTGTATATATTTAATGTATACAACTGAGTTTGGTGATATGTATATCCCTGTGAAACCATCACCACGATCTACACTGTAAACATATCCATCACTTCCAAAAGTTTCCTCCTATGCCCTTTATTTTTCTGTTTATCTTCATTTAAAGTTCCTCTATCCTTAGTTAATAAAGAATGCTAGAGGTTACCCCCTCCCTCCATAAAGTGTTATCTATAAAGGTCTGCTATCAGAAACACTTCATTCTTCTCCTCTATTCTGGGAAAAGAATAAAACAGATGGAAGAGGCCAACAGTATTTGATACATTTTACATGACACTTCACACGGATGAGAAGAATGTAGATTTGGCCTGTAACTCCTTTACTTAATTTCTCATAGTGGATTTGCTAAAGTTATTCTCTGTGGATTTCTTTTTTCTTGTAAGAAAACTGCTTCATTGAATTTTATAGAGCTAAATGTCAAAAGTTCCAGTAAAAAATTATGCTTTCTCAAGTATATTTGTTTATATAAACAGCAAATAAGCAAGCACCTGAATTCCATCTAATCTCTTCATTCTTGTAAAAATAGTAATAGCTAACACCCTGAGTATGCAGAGAAAGGAAATGTCTGTATTTGGTGTCAAAAGTTACTTGAGCCAAGCAAATACAAGAAACCTCTCCCTCCCACAGTTGCAACTACGCAAATACAAACTGGTGCAGTGGAAAAAGCACTTAATCAGGTGTTCCAGATCCTAGTTCTGGTTCAACATTTAACTAGCTGTGTAACTCTTGGCAAATTTGTTTCCTCATTTGTAAAATGAGGAGATGAGGCTCGCTGATTACCAAAGAGCTTTCAAGGTATATCTGGGCTATTAAAATTTCATGGAGGAGTGATCAAGAAAAAGTGTTTAATAAGGCTCTTTAGGAACGTAACAGTGAAAAAAAAGTTGAGAATCACTGGTCTAGCAGTGTGAGTATATAGCAAAATCTCATCACCTCAGCTCGTTTTAAAAACAAATAAAAGCTTATTTTCACAAGTTTCTACGTAGAGGCAATTAACATTTTATTGAGCACCTCCTCGCTAGTGGACACTGACAGATGCCTACATTATTTCAAATCCTTTATCTCCACTATTTCACTTAATCTTCACAATCAAGTCAATCATCCTTATTTTACAGATTAGGAGACTGAGGATCAGATATTTAAAATATTTTATGCAAGGACTTAAGGCTAAAAGTGACTGCCTGAATAACTAGAATCCAGGTGTGACTCCAAAGTTGATTCTTTCTACTTCACTCTTCTGCTTTTCATTACTACGATATTCACCAAACTATTGCACCTGCTAGACCTGTAATTATGTAAAACACTAAACTTCAACGAGGTCATCAAAAAGACGCTAGATTATTGGATGAATTTCTTTAAGATGTATCTTAAAGAAATGGGGCGTCTTCTCGGTACACAAGAGTAGAGTTCAGAAGCCGTGATCCCTGGGATCCGAAAAGACAAAACCAGAATCAGCTGAGGGACGTACTGAGGAATTGACATTAGTCTCCACACATTATGGAGTTACGCTCCGGCCGACAAAGATCCTCTAGGCTGCCGGACTCCTCACCGTTGCAGAACAAACTTTGAGGACCCGTTGCGTAAGCGAGTTGCTCAGTAAGAAAGGCGAGACCACCAGGGCTTTTGGCCTAGAGAAGAGGGGGCTGTCCTAGGGACCTCAGAGACACCACCACTTTCACTTCCAGCAGCCTTTGGGAAGGCAGTCCCCGTGGGCCTGATCCCTCCCCTGGTCTCTTTACTCACTTTTTTGATATTGGATTTGGAGGCAGGATGAAAGTCCTTCTTGCACATGAAGTTGGCGAAGGATTTCCCCATCTTGGAGCTGGAGCTGGGGAAAGCAGCAGCTAGATCTGCAGGCAACGTAAACAAACTCAGCCACCTAACCGGAACTGCGTTTCCAGCGGCAGGGGGGAACTTCCGAGGTCAAAGGTGACAGCTTCCGGGAACTGTTGCCTCCGCTGGCCACTCCTCCCTCTGTCGACCAGTTTCTTCGGGCAGCTGGGAGGCCAGGTGAGGGGCGAGCACGGGGGAGGGGCCTGCATAGTTGAGGCAAAACCCAGAAAGACCGAAGAGTCGCGCGGCGCTGCTTGACCGAGGGGCTCTGGGGCCCAGCAGCGCCGGCTGCAGTTTGAGCGCCTCGGGCCGGAGTGCGGGGTGGATCGCGGCGCCTCTTCGACCGGAGGTGCCTGAAGCTCGAGCCCGTTACTTTCTGTGAACTCTAACTCGAGCTGCAAAAACTTCTCTGCACCGTTCTTCTCATCTGTATCATGGAAATAATAATTCCTGCCCTAACCGTAGTATGTTTGCGGGAATCCAACAATATGATGTTTCTGAAAGCGCCGAGTGAACTAAGAGCGCGTGAAATAGACAGCTCTGCAAGAACGGAGGCCCTATTTTGTCCTCAGCTGTAGGGTGCTGGCGCTGAAAGACATTCAATAAATATTTATTGAATGACGAATACGCGTTAGGAGTTGGTAAAATCTCTCAAGGCTTCACCTCCTCAGTGGGCTAAGTGCCATTCTAACCAGGCTGCAAGTTTCCTTAGCTTTCCCTACGATCCCAGTTAGGCAGCTCAGATTACCTATTGCATCTTGATGGCCCTTGAGACTCCACGGTTTTGAATGGACATGGCTGCTACTGCAGCAGGTGATCCACCAAGTTCTCCATCAGGGCGATGTTAAGAATAAGCCTTGTCCGGTCACGGTGGCTCACGCCTGTAATCCCAACACTTTGGGAGGCTGAGGCGGATGGATCACCTGAGGTCAGGAGTTCGAGAGCAGCCATCATGGTGAAACCCCCCCTCTCTATGAAAAATACAAAAAATTAGTCGGGCGTGGTGGCACGCGCCTGTTAATCCCAGCTACTCGGGAGGCTGAGGCAGGAAAATCATCCGAGCCTGGGAGGGAGAGGTTGTAGTGAGCCGAGATCGCCATTGCACTCCAGACTGGGCAGCAAGAGTGAAACTCCGTCTCAAAAAAATAAAAAAATTAAAAAAATAATAAGCCTTTATAAGAAATTTCCTCTCCTACCAAATAAGAACAATAACAGCTTTCCTGTGTCTACTATGTAATCTGTACTGTGCAAAACACTTTATATGTTGCCTTAAGTTCTCATAACAGCCCATCAAATAGTATCTTTTATTTTACTGATGAGGCAGAAGGCACAGGGAAGAGAGAGATTAAATAGTCTGCCAAAGTTACATAGTGATGGAACTAACTCCAGAACACAAATAGAAGGAGATCCAGGACATAAGTGTTGAAATATACAAAGAAAATAACAGAAGCCCTCATGATCTCTGTCTACTCCTTGCTGAGAAGAGGAAAACCCTTGGGAGTTCCAACTGAAGTTTTTTCTTGCCATTTTGTTTTCTTTTTAAGGAAACATTTATTATATTAAAATTTTGTTTTTAAATTGCTAGCATCTGCCTATGTAAAGCCATTCTAAGGTTTTGTCATTATTAAAGGAAAGAAGGAAACTAAAACAATGTGTCCATTCTGGCAGCAAAACAAGGACCTTTAGGTGTTCTATTATAACTGAAAAGTTAAGATTTTCCAAATTACAATTAAAGAGGTAATGTAGATATTAAAGTATACAACTGGGATTTATAAATTAAATATGTGAACTTTCTCCTAGAAATATCAGCAATTTGGAATTATATTGACATTTTTGTCTGAATCAGTGAGTGTTTCAAAATTTCCGTCTCATCAGAATTATCTGTCTATATTTTTTCTCAGCTCAAAGAAGACCCCTTCTTCCTTCCTTTGAGGAAGTACTTGGCACGTAAGATTTTTTCCCATAAGACAAGTTCCAGCAATGAAAATACAAAGACTTGTAAGATACACTCCCAGCCCTCAAGGATCTCGTCCAGTAAAGGGACTCATATATACACAAATACAGTAGAATATAGCCTTTACAACAGTAGAGCTAGATACAGGGATTCCCAAATATGGAAGTGGTGAAAGGAAATTCAGGGAAGACTTTAGGAGAGAAAGGTCTTAGAGAATAAATTTGAACTATAGACTAGAAGGTAGTTCTCATTGTCATTTTCTTATTGATTTGTAGTACAAGATTGAGTTCCAAGTCATATTCTTACTGATTTTTGTGCTATAATAGATGAAATTTAAAACTTTAATGAACAGCCAAGCATGGTCAGGCATGCCTGTAATCCCAGTGCTTTGGGAGACAGAAGGAGGAGAATCTCCTGAGTCCAGGAGTTCCCAGGCTGCAGTGAGTCGTGATCACACAATTACACTCCAGCCTGGGTCAAAGAGCTAGACCTTGTCTCCAAAAAACAAAAATAAAAAAATCAAAGCTTTAATGAACATTAGATTTGGTAATAATATCCTTTGGTCATTGAGTAAAACCCAAATACTCAAAGTATTTTTTTTAATTTTGAAACTTTTGTATAATTTTTAGTTAAAAAAAAATGGAACCTTTTTCCTGTGACACTTTCGTGGCATTACCTCCAGCAACAGTCGCTAACAGGATAATTTTTGGAAAAAATTCAGATAGACTCTGTGACGAAGTACAAGAGGTAGTTTATTTTCCTGCTGCAGTTCATGATAACCTGGGAGAACATCTTAAGGTAGGTGAAATAAATGTTTTGTTAGCAGTGTGATTTTTAAAAGTATCATAAAGCTATTTCTATAAATAGCAATTTGGAAGAAACTGTAGAAGTTAAAATTGAGGAATTTAAATTTGAAAAATAAATGTGTCAGAAATAAACTCTGATCTTTTATTTCAGTGATTTGGAGGAAGTCGAAATAACAGTAATAAAAATTATTCATTCTTTTATTAACTATTTGAATGCTTTCCATATGCAGGCATGTTAGATACGGCAAGAGATTTAAAGTCAGCTGTCAAGACTCTGACTGTTCCAAGAGCTTAGAGTCTAGTATAGGAATAAGACGTGTATGATTATACCCCATTATAAAATAGGATGGTTTAAATGCTAAATTTAAGTAAGAGCAGCATGCTGTGGCAGCAGAAGAGAAGGAACATTTAATTCAACTTGGAGTTAGCTGGAGTTTGATGAACAAAAAGGATTCTGATTCTGAATTGATAGAGGTTCTACTTTATGTAGAATAGGAAAGTCATCCCAGACTCTGAGAATGACAGTTTTATGACACATCAAAAAGGTTTATTAGGCCCTGTGTTAACAGTATCAAATATACATTTTATGCAGTACTATACACATTAATTAAAGGATCCTTTGAGAACTTATTTTAAAAACCCATTTAATGCGGAACTTAAAATGAGAGCTTCAAATTATGCTATTGTTGCTAATTCATACTTTGAAGATTTTATTGTATTAATATTCTAATATTAAAACATATTAAATATTGGATTTTTCTGTATACTATGCCATATTTTTTTCTTTTGCTAAGACCGCTTATTCATCTGTGATACCATTTCCACTTTATCTCTTCATATTTAAATCTAGCCTATCCTGTAAACCAGTGTTTCTCATTCTTTTCATTGCTGTGGACATATGTAATGGATGACTTCAACATGTGACATGAGATTCCTATGGCAATACTCTTGTATTCAAAGGCTACCCTATAGGTACTTATATCACTAATCAAGTAACACTGGACATTCAGGTTGAGAACTACTTCCTTAAGCTTCAACTCACATACATCTACAAAAATGTTTCAAGTTGTTATAGCTGGAGACCATGTTTCTCCTGAGCTTCACTAACACCTCATCATTACTTCATGACCCTAATACTTTATGCTTTATTTATCCTAGTTAATGTACAAGTTTTAGTTTCTCAAAAGTGAGATCTGTATCTGATTCATCTTTGTAACTAACATATCTCTTGGCAGAATGTTTTTTAATAGGAAATGCTAAGCAAATATTTGAATGAATATAATACTTTAGGATTATTCTGAATATGTTTTAAGAGTAATGCCTTTTATTGAAAATTTCAGTTTAATTTTATTCCTTTCCCTCTTTAATAACAGTCTTGTCTTCTGACTGATTTTTTAAATTCTGGATTTTGATAACTTTTCTGGTTTTGTGGTTCATGCTATGACTTTTTTTTTTTCCTTACAGTGTACATATATAGAAATTGATCAAGTTCCTGAAACATATGCTGTTGTCCTGAGTCGCCCAGCTTGGTTGTGGGGTGCAGAAATGGGAGCCAATGAGCATGGAGTTTGCATTGGAAATGAAGCTGTATGGGGAAGAGAAGAAGTTTCTGATGAAGAAGCACTACTAGGAATGGATCTTGTCAGGTTGTTTTTTGTTATATATTATACTATAGACCTTGTCTAAATTTGTAATTTTTTGTATAACTCTTACTTGTTTTATTTTCTTATTTTTTAGGGGGCTTTGATACTTTGTGTCAAAATATTTTAGAGTAACAACTTGCAATTTCATGATTCTCAGTTTTGTTTGTTTTCCTTATTTATTTTTTTAAGACGAGATCACAGCGTCATGCAGGCTGGAGTATGGCGGTATGATCATGGCTCATTGTGGCCTTGAATTCCTGAGCTCTAACAATCATCCCACCTGAGCCACCAAAGTAGCTTGGTTGGATCAAAGGCACATGTCACCAAATCTGGCTAATTTTTAATTAAATTTTTTTTTCAGAGACAGGTTCTTGCTATGTTGCTTACATTTGTCTTGAACTCCTGCCCTGTAGCCGTCCTCCTGCCTCAGCCTCCTGAAGAGCTAGGATTATAGGCACAAGGCATCATGCCCAGCTTTCAGATATTATTATTTGGGAGAAGGGAAGAAGTAGAAATTATAATTCATTGGAAGTACCTAACATACTTTATCACACCTTAACTAATTCTCACCATAACCTCATGGGTTACTGTGCTCATTTTACAAATGAGATATCCGCAGTTCAGAGGTAAAGTAACTTGACAGTGAATTACCAACTTCAAATTTGATGGGTTTGTTTGACTCCAGAAACTTTGTTTCAATGATTCTAGACTGACTTCAGAAGGGAAAATTTTAAAGTTAAATGTCATTTCATCTGTTAACTTGAAAGAAATTTTACTTTAAATGTAAAAAATCTCATAAGCATGAAATTATTTAAGAAAAATAATGGAAATTTCTTTTAACCTGAGAACTTTATATTTTTGTTTTAGGCTTGGCCTTGAAAGAGCTGATACAGCTGAAAAAGCCCTCAATGTCATCGTTGATTTATTAGAAAAATATGGCCAGGGTGGAAATTGCACAGAGGGTAGGATGGCATTTAGCTATCACAACAGTTTCCTGATAGCTGATAGGAATGAAGCCTGGATACTGGAGACTGCAGGGAAGTACTGGGCAGCAGAAAAAGTTCAAGGTATGGACAAATTTTGGTGATTTAACTTGTTTTGCAATTAATAAAATACACCCTTACCTGTACATATTGCATTTAATCGTTTCCAAGATTGATAATCTAGTCCAATGAAGGGTTGAACTACAAGGGAAATTTAAAAATTTGAAAGAACAGTGAAAAAGTGCTATAAAGAGCTTTCTTGAAAAAGATAAAAAGTTAGCATTACCTCTGGGAATATGAATTTCACATAACCTGTACATACTTTCTTTGCTGCAGCTCTTGGCTGTTTCATAATACTTTTTCACTTTAATAATCCCTTACCATTTCTTCCCCTTTAAACTTTGGGCTGCACTCCATAATCTTACATCTAAGTGTGGAGGTGAGGAAATGGGAATGGGGTTAGAGACAAGTGTTTGTGAGTTGGTGGTTGGAAAAGCTGTGTTGATATAATAGTAAAACATAAACATTCTGTATCTTTGAATAAAACAACATTATTTGATTGTTGTAGAATGCTTTGATTTGTCTTTCTCATTTTCTTTGTGATCATATATTTCTCTCATTTTTCAAGTGAGGAAAGCCAGAGACATAAGGTGATTTAAGGTGGTGAATGAATGACCTAGAATTTAGATCTTTTCATCTTGACTCTCAGTTCAATGTTCTTTCACTAGAACATAGCCTTATGTTTAAGCATAATCATGTGCTTCTTGGGTGTTTAACTCCTGGACTCCTAGTCTACTAGAGAGATAAGATATACATGTGAAAATGTTAAACAGTGCATGAATGATACAGACACATAGATGCTGTGAACATTTAGAGAACAGAAAGGTTATTGTGAGCTAGAGGAGTTCAGAAAGGCTTCACGAAGGTAGCCTTGAACTTTGGAGGATTTGGGTGTTATTTTTCAAAACAGGTCATTACCAGTTGTTTTGATGGACATTTTGTTTTATGTTTTGCACATATGTTTGTTGATATATAACATTATAGTTAGACTTTTTCGTCCTGTGATAATTGGCCTGATAATGCCGTTGAGCACTTTTATTTCATTAAATGTACTACACGCAAGAGAGAAATGAATAAATACATTTTGTTGAAAAAGCTCCACCTGGCCATCTAAAATGAACACCTTCATTGGACCTGATTGTCTAGCTATAGATTAACTTTGCCAACTGGTTTCCCTTTCTGTTACTAATTGAGCCCAAGAACTAAATTGTTAAATGGTAGGGAATTATTTATTAACGGAAAATTATTGGCTGGGCATGGTGGCTCATGCCTAGAATCCCAGCACTTTGGGAGGCTGAGGCAAGAGGATCACTTTAGCCCAGGAGTATGAGACCAGCTTGGGCAACACAGTGAGACCTCAATTCTACAAAAAATACAAAAATTAGTTGGGTGGGGTGGCATTTACCTATAGTTCCAGCTACTCAAGAGGCTGAGGTGGGGAGGATTGCTTGAATCCAGGAGGTTGAGGTTGCTCTGAGCTATTATTGTGCCACTGTACTCTAGCCTGGGTGACAGAGTGAGACCCTGTTGAAAGAAAAGAAAATAAGGAAGGCGAAGGGGGAAAGAAAGAAAATTCTTCCATCTGATTCTGTCATGACTCGGATCTGGTTTTGTAATGAGGGTATCCCAAGTATGACTTCATTAGAGTAATTTCATTGATTTTTACTTGACAGACTGTCATTTTAGTTGTTTTTAAAACATTATCAATTTTTATTTATCATAATCTATTTCATTTAGTATAATCTCTAAGATGGGCTTTTATTTTTCCTATTTTGTATGTTAGTTGAAAACTTTGTCTATAGTTTCATGCCATAATGTTTTTGGAAGTCATAAATTTTGATTCTAGACTTATTTATAATTAAAAAAATAATTATAAAAAGGACTAGTATTTCGAATATATAAAGAACAGTCAAAGCTCAACAGTTAAAAAAAAGTCCAGTTAAATAGGCAAAAGATATGAAGAGTCGTTTCACCCAAAGAGATGTACAGATGTCAAATAAGCACAAGAAATGATGTTCAACATTATTAGGGAAATGCAAACCCCAATAAGATTTTACTATACTTCTATCACAATGACTAAAAGAAAAAATAGTGACATTACCAAATGCTGATAAGAATGTGGAGACTGCATCATTCATACATTGCTAGTAAGAATGTATAGCCAACCACTCTAGAAAATAGTCTGTCAGTTAAAAAAAACAAAAACAAAAACTAAACATGCAAGTACCATACAACTTAGCAATTGTACTCCTGTGCATTTATCCCAGAGAAATAAAAATTTACATACATTTACACAAAAATCTGTACACAAGTATAGCAACTTTCTCTATGATGACTGAAAACTGGGAACAATTCAGATATCCTTTACCTTGTGAAAAAGTAAGCAAACTATCATACATTCATACCTGGAATACTACTCAGCAATAAAAGTAATAAATTATTGATATATACAGCAACATGAATGAATCTTCAGAGAATTGTGTTCAGTGAAAAAAGCCAAAAGTTTATATATTGTAGTGTTCCCATTTATATAACATTCTTGAAATTACTATTATAGAAATGGAGAACAGACTAGCTGTTGCCTGAGGTTAATGAAGGATTTGGGGTGGGAGATAAGTAGTTGTGGCTGTAAAAGGGCAACATGAGGGATCCTTGTGGTGACAGAAGTATTCTTCATCTTGACTATATTAATACCAATATTCTGGTTGTGATGCTAAGCTACAGTTTGACAAGATGTTACCATTGGGGGAAACTGGGTAAAGCGTACACAGTATCTCTTAGTATTATTTTTTGTAACTGCATGTGAATCTACAATTATCTCAAAATAAGTTTAATTTTAAAAAGCATTTATTTTTTGAATATGTAATAGATGCACATGCACATGGCACAAAATTTAGAAGTCGATATTTACATTTAAATAGTAATTAAGAATCATAATGTATAGATGCATGCTTTATATTAAATATGACTTTTCTTCTCCCTTCTCTTCTTCTTCTTTGAAAATAGAGGGAGTTCGTAATATTTCTAATCAGCTTTCCATAACAACCAAGATTGACCGGGAACACCCAGACATGAGAACCTATGCTAAGCAGAAAGGTTGGTGGGATGGTAAAAACGAGTTTGATTTTGCTGCAGCATACTCCTATCTTGACACAGCCAAGATGATGACTTCATCAGGCAGATACTATGAGGGCTACAAGCTTCTAAATAAGCACAAAGGTAATTTTATCATATAAATAATATTAGGATGACTACATTTTGTGTAGATGTAATATGCAAGTGATAAAATCTGTTTTGGGGAATTATGCTTAGTAAAAATATTATTCTATTAAAATGGAAAAGATTTATTATAAAAGCTATTTTTTGAATTATTTCTTACCAAATAATTCCAGCAAAGTAAGCTTTATTTAGATTACTGAGTGGCAGATAATTGCTAAAAGGATCATGCTACTAATAAAGATATGTGACTGATATACCCTCCTTCATTTGAAGGATAAAATGACTCTAGTTTTTAAAATTTTTTTGAGACAGTGTTTTGATCTGATACTCAGGCTGGAGTGCAGTGGTGTGATGTGGGCAAAACATTGAGGAATTGATTACAACAGTGCAGGATGGCTTGGTCTGGGGTCCAGGGCCACCAACCAAGATTGTGGTGGGGCTGAATTCCAGCCCCACTGTCTGCCCAAAAGAAGAGGTTTCTTTCTCCAACTTGCATAAAGGTTAGCTAGCTCAGGAATGGCAGTGGTGGCATGGAGATGGAGCAAAGTGGACAGATTTGGGATATACTTTGGTAGCAGAATGGACAGGATTTAATTAATTGGAGTGAAGGTTAGATAGAGAAGGAGGTCGCAAATGAATACCAGGTTTCTGCTGGGAACCAGTGAACAGCTGGAAATGCCATTTGTAGAGATAGGCTAGATGGAAGATCTGAGGGTCAAGAGTATAGTTTTCTGTTTTACAAGAATCAACTCCTCTGAGATAATAATCTAACCCTCCCAGAAGGAATGATTTGCATCTTCCTTTGTCTGAGAAGACAACTCATCCTCTTCCCTTGCTGAGTTTAGAACCTCACCCAAAAGGTGATGGTGATTGAGGGTTGAGTGTGGGGTAGGAGCAGTCTTAGGAGGTGGGCACTCCTATCCACTTGAAATTCAAGATATTAACTCAGACCTGTAGCAAAAATAGAGTAAGACTCTAGTATAAAGCTCATGCTTTTGGATATTTTGAGTCTTTTATTGACAGGTACACAGGGAGTGGCAAAGGAGATTTTTACATGAAGTTATGAGTACATTCCCCTGTATTTATGTTTCTTTTACTTTTTATTGTTAATGTTGTTTAGTCCTAATTCAGCTATTTAAATAAATCCAATCTCAGTACAAACAAAAAGAAAAAAGTTTGACAATATTTTTAGAATGCCTTAACATTATCATTTTCAAAGTAGTTAATATTTTATTTATATTTTAATTTCCAAAAGAATATCTTATAATTTGAAAGTTTTCTGTAAGGTTTCTTTATGTTAGTGTATAGTTTTGTAAATAGGTAATCTAACCCATCTTTTCCCCCCATGTTGATAGATAGGTGTGTAGAAAATTCTAAAGCATGTTATAGTAAGGACTTTAATTTTAGACTTACTATAAAAGGAGAACATCAGGAAAAATACCTAATGTATACTGGGCTTAATACCTAGATGATAGGTTGATCTGTGCAGCAAACCACCACGGCACACGTTTACCTATGTAACAAACCTGCACATCCTGCACATGTATCCTGGAACTCAAAATTAAAAAAAATAGTAAATCAGGAGTAGCTGTTGCAGCAACACCTACTCCCATTTATTAAGTGCTTTTATCAAGGGTCAGATACTGTGCTAAATGATTTAATTATATTATTATTATTATTTGAAATGGAGTTTCACACTGTCACCCAGGTTGGAGTACAGTGGTGCAATCTTGGTTCACTACAACTTCCACCTCCCAGGTTGAAGTGATTCTCCTGCCTCAGCCTCCCAAGTAACTGGGATTACAGGTGTCTGCCACCACGCCCAGCTATTTTTTTGTATTTTTAGAAGTGACAGGGTTTCACTATATTGGCTAGACTGGTCTCAAACTCCTGACCTTGTGATCCACCTGCCTCAGCCTTCCAAAGTGCTGGGATTATAGGCATGAGCCAACGTGCCAATCCTAATTATGTTATTCTTTAAGCAACCATGTGAAATAGATATCGTTTTCATTTTACAAATGAAGGAAGCATCTGTGTTTGTGCTCTTCTCCATGAAACTGAAAAAAATGAACTTTCTTATTTGTCCATATTTTTCTCTCAGCACCTAATTCACTATGTTGTGTGTGCTTAGTAAGTATTGAATAAATTAATAAAGGATCGTTAGTTGATTAGAATTAAATTGTAATTTGCAGATAGTTTAACAAAGATCACTGTTGTGTACTTTTTGCTGGTAATAAACTTAAAAGCCGGAAATAAAATGAGCAGATATTCTTTAAAAATGAAGAACAACAATGCATAATTAAGATGGAGAGGAAAATTATAAGGTTTAGAGTAATTGGACAAAAGGAAGAAAAAAGAAATAATTATAAGCCAATTAGCTACTGCATCATAATAATTAATTCAGTTATATTTAAGAATAACTGAATCATGGATTTGAAATGCATACATGCTTATAGTAATAGATGCATCTGACATGAAACTTAACTTTTTCTCAAGTGTGAAGTATAGTTCATCCAGCTTTCTGTGCTTTGACAAAAGAATATGTCTTTCTAATACTTTCACAGAAAATTGTCTACCAGCACATTACAGTTAATTTTTCCTATGATTTTTCTAGATAGAACAGCCTACCTCTCTTCTTTCCAACTATCCCTACCTGATAGCTATTAACTGTGCTGCATGTATATGCAAATTGAATCTATATTCACTCATGTATTTTCAATAACTAGCTTAACTTGCAATGAAATTACACCCTGTGTTTTGCATTTATTTTACTGAACCCTGCCACTGCAGTCTCAGTACTTAGTCAGTGCTTGCTAGTGGATTACTTATGGCTATCCTACTCAAGTGATCATGTAAATCCTCCTTTCATTTTGAGAATTGTAGGTTTTGTATATAGAAAGTATTTTCATAATACCTGTATTATCACAGTATTACGGTTCTGACACTGTTTTTACTAAAACTTGTCATTTATAGAAATTTGGATTTGAATCATTTTTAAGGCTCACTAGGTGCTGAAGCTATGTGCCTGATAAATAGGTGTGGATGGCAGGTTTTTGCTTTGTTGTTTAGTTTTAATATTAAGGGCTGCTTTTAGGCACACCTTCTTTACTGTGTTTTTCCAAATAAACAGAAATATATTACTTCTGTAACTAGTTATCTATAAAGTCAATAAGTTATTTTTCTTGATTTTGAAGTAATGGCTATATTGTGGAGAAACTGGATAAGAGAATGTAGATTGTATAAATCTGTTGTTATTAACATAAAGTAGTTGGTAGCCTATATAATTAACTAAGGGAAGAACATTAGGTTATTTTATATGAAGTCAGTTTTAATTTGAAATTTTATAAATTACAATTTGGATACAGACTTGCCGTGAGCTTTTTCTTTTAGTTCCCAATTCTGGGAATGGGGCAGGGGGAGATACTTGCTTTTCATGCTCTCTTTGTTTTTACAAGCTACTTCATTTTTCATTCTTACTGTCATAGTGGCATTTTGAGAGAGGAAGGAAATACCTGTGGTTAATCAACCATGTTAAGTGAAAGTTGTTTCTTTAGAACTAATTGAAATATAATAATTAAACATTTCCATACAAGTTATCTAAAAATATCTGTTAGCAGAAACAATGTTTTGGATTGATTGATTGATTGATTGACAGGGTCTTGCACTGTCATCTAGGCTGGAGTGCAGTGGCACGATCATAGTTCACTGTAACCTCAATCTCTTGGGCTTAAACAATCCTCCTGCCTCAGCCTCCTGAGCAGCTGGAACTACAGGCATGCATCACCACACCTGGCTATTTTTTTTTTTTTAATAGATGGGGAACTTGCCATGTTGCCCAGACTGGTCTAAAACTCCTGGGCTCAAGTGATACTCCTGCCTCATACTCCCAAACTGTTGGGATTACAGGTATAAGCCACCATGCCTGGCGTGTGTGTGTGTGTGTGTGTGTGTGTGTGTGTGTGTATGGTGTTTTTTTTTTTTTTAAACGGTACTTGTTACCATATGGATTCACCACATTCATTACTATTATTAATAAATTGTTACTACTTCAGGATAGAAAGAGACTAATGTATTTAATAAATGAGAGGCATACTAGTGCAGTGGAGGAATTAAAAAGCACAGAGCTGGTTATGAAGGAGTAGCTGGTATTAGACCAACTTCCTTCCAAGAATAACTATGAGATCTGGAAGGAAAAATCCCTGTTGTTGGAAGACATAGATGAATACCCAAAAGAGTATACAAAAGAATAAAGATGAGGAGCCTAGATCCTGGAGACTGAGAAAAAGACTCTACACTTTGAGAAGAGCTTGACTTTCTGGGTCATAGTTTCTCAACACAGTTGTCAACTTCTAAGCAGCATGTAGGTAGGATGAGACATGATGCTGAGAAATCAAGCAGAAAGTAGCTGCTAAGAGCCTTAAAAGCTAAGCAGAGATTTTTTGCAGCCTCATAAAGCCTTAGGGACAAAAATTGGATTGGAGGGCCAACCAAGAAGAAGGGACCTGGGAAATACCCCTAAGCTTTCAATTGAAACCCCAGAAAGGCTACTCTGTAGGAAGAGTAAGAACAAACAAGGGATAGATTAGTCTCAACATTGGATCAAGATAATCTACCTATATTCTGTAAGGTTGCCAGAAGAATATTAAATGCTCTGTGAAAGAAAATATCATGCAGAGCCTCTATAAAATTTCATTCAATCAAAAATTATCAGGCATGCTAAGAAATAAGACCAAATGACTGAAAACCAAGAAAAGAAGTAGATAGTAGAAATTGACCCACAGGCCGTCTACACATTAGCTTTATTGGAAACAGAGTTTAAAATTACCGTATTTTATATATTCAAGAGAATTAGATAAAAAGATGTAAAATTTTATCAGGGAACCGAAGTCTGTAAAAGATAACCAAATGGGAATAATACAACTAAAAAATTATAACTGAAATTAAGAATCCAATAGATTGATTAACAATGGGTTAGATATAGCAGAAGAAAAAAATTAGTGAACTGGAAGATGAGTAGAAAAGATTCCAATTCAAACAGAGATAAAAGCTTAGAAAATATAGACAAGAGTCTGAGAGGCATATATAGGATTCAGTGAAAAGGTCTCACATACATAAAATTAGAGACTCAACAGGAAAGGAGAGAGAAAATAGGGAAAGGCAAAAACCAGTAGTTGAAGGACACTGGCCAAGAATTTTCCCAAACTAATAAAAGTCATCAAGCAACAGTCTCAAGAAGCTCTACAAATCCCGAGAAGGACAAATAAGAGGAAACCACACTTATGCCAGTCATAGTAGGATTTCTGAGGGGAAAAAAAGAGAGAAAAATCTTAAACACATCGAGAGAAGGCCGGGCACAGTGGCTCACACCTGTAATCCCAGCACTTTGGGAGGCTGAGGAGGGTGGATCAAGAGGTCAGGGGATCGAGACCATCCTGGCCAACATGGTGAAACCTCATCTCTACTAAAAATACAAAAATTAGCCGGGCGTGGTGGTGCATGTCTGTA